AAGTACTTTCTCACCGAACAAGTATCTTGTGGTAGCTATACAGTTACAAACAAAAAAAAAATAACGGCTGGGCGTGGTGGCTCACACCTGTAATCCTAGCACTCTGGGAGGCTGAGGCGGGAGGACGGCTCGAGGTTGGGACCTATCTTTACTATAAATAGAAATTAATTGGCCAACTAATATATATAGAAAAAATTAGCCAGGCATGGTGGTGCATGCCTGTAGTCTCAGCTACTCAGGAGGCTGAGGCAGTAGAATTGCTTGAGCCCAGGAGTTTGAGGTTGCTGTGAGCTAGGCTGACACCACGGCACTCACTCTTGCCTGGGCAACAAAGCAAGACTCTGTCTCAAAAATAAATAAATAAAAAACAAAAAAAAACTTAATCATTTTTACCAATAATTAGCTTAAACCAATTCCTATATTTAATATTGTTGGAATTTGACCTTTTAGGATTCCTTAAAACTGATCTACAAAAACCAGGCATGGCCGGGCACGGTGGCTCACGCCTGTAATCCTAGTACTCTGGGAGGCCAAGGCGGGTGGATGGTTTGAGCTCAGGAGTTCGAGACCAGCCTGAGCAAAAGTGAGACTCTGTCTCTACTAAAAAATTGAAAGATTCCACAGACCCATTCAGTCTAAAAAAAAAAAAAGAAAAAGAAAAAAAAAATTGAAAGAAATTAGCTGGACAACTAAAAAAATATATATACATATATATATAAATATTAGCTGGGCATGGTGGTGCAAGCCTGTAGTCCCAGCTACTTGGGAAGCTGAGGCAGTAAGGATCGCCTTAGCGAGCCCAGGAATTTGAGGTTGCTGTGAGCTAGGCTGACAGCCATGGCACTCTAGCCTGTGCAACAGAGTAAGACTCTGTCTCCAAAAAAAAAAAAAAACCAGGCACCACAAGTGCCCGCCTGTATTCCCAGCTACTTTCAAGGCTGAGGCAGGAGAAATGCTTGAGGCCAGGAGTTGGAGACCAGCCTTAGTAACACAGGGAGACCCATCTCTACGAAAAATTAGGTGGGTGCGGTGGCATGTACCCACAGTCCTAGCTACTTGGGAAGCTGAGGCAGGAGAATTATTAATACTTAAGTCCAGGAGTTTGAGGTTACAGTGAGCTATGATAACACCACTGTACTTTTGGGGGGGGGGGGCAACGGAGGGAGACATTGTCTCAAATAAAAAAGAAATCCAAACAAATTACTGAGTGCCTAATATGTGCCAGGCACTGTTCTAAGTACTTAGGAATGATTAATTTAAAAAATCTCCTTTTTTCCTTTCCACCTGATAGGAAGAGACAGATAAACGTAAGATAGTATGTTGGACAGTGATAAATGCTTTGGGGAAAAAATAAAACAGGGTAAGAGGGACTTCTAGGCTGCAATTTTAAATAGCATGGTCAGAGAGGACTTAGGTAGACTTGGAGGTGAGGGAGTCAGCCACCATGAGACCTAGGGAAGAGTACACCAGGCACAGGAATAAGCAGGGCAAAGGTCACAGAGTATCCTAGAACAGTAAGAAGGCCAGTAAGGTTGGAGGGAAGCCAAAAAAAAAAAAAAGGTGAGAGTAGTAGGACATATCAAGAGAGATATGTGGAGACAGCAGTATAGATTATGTAGGGTTTATAGAACACTGTAAGGAATTTGGTTTTTACTTTGAATGAAACAAGGATCCACAGAGGGTTGAGCAGAATGTCATTCTGTTTCACCATAATCTCTCTGGCTTCTGTGTTGATAACAGGCTACATAGGGAAGGCAAAGGTGAAAGTAGGGAAACCCATAAGGAGGCTACTAAAGAAACTCAGGAGAGAAATATGTACTTACTACAGACTTGCTCATAATGGTGATGGGCTTACTTTTAAGCAAAAATAATATCTGTCAGATGCTGCTAGTAGGAAATAACGAATTCTGCTTTATAAGAGCTCTTAGCATATAAGTACATTGTACAACAGAAAAATGACATCTTTTAACTACACTAGAGAAAAAAACATTCCTTTATAATCAGCTATTACACCTTTTAAATTTTGTAGCTTATTTAAATTTTGCAGCTTATTTAAAGAAATAAGCCCTTATTCCTATAGCTCTATTAATTAGATACTATTTCTTGAAAAGTTACTTTTGTCAACTGAAAATATTATAAACCATTTACCTTGAATTGCTTCTCAGATCATCTAAAATAACCATTTATTTCTTTGGCAGGGAAAAATATTTTCTACAAAAGTTTCTTTTTATACTCCCACCTTTTAAAGTAATTATTTTCTTCCAATTTATACTGAATTTGCATTAGTATCTGGGTCATTCATTTCAGGAAAGGGCAACCACAAAAACTCCCACTGTCAAAAATAACATTAAAAAAAAAAAGTTCTTTCATGATACCAAAACTCATTATCTAGTCTTTCTGGAATGGGCAAATACAGTTCTCATAAATTTTAACACCTTTAATACTACAATTATAAAGATAACAGAAAGCAAGCAGTAAGCCAAACACATTCAATTTGCCTGGAAAGGGGCTAGGGGCTAGGAGATTTTGAAATTAAAGCTCATTAAAAAATGTGCACACAAAACTGAAATAAGCACATTTGTTGTGTAGTATATATGGGGGCTTGGACAATGACTTATTAACAGTTTACTCAAAGACATCCAGATTCAGCTTGGATTTTTAATGAGACTATCCCTGTAACTATTCACATACCCTGGGAGAAATGGTTGTGTAAATATACAAAACACTGAATTCACATTCATAAACTCATTCAACATTTAGGTGCTTATGTGCCCCAAACTGCAAAACACTGGGGACAGTCCCTGCTCTCAAGGGCTTATATTCTTCATTTAGCTTACAGTTACTAAGTACCTACTAAGAGCCAGATGCTAGGGATACAACAATGAACTGGAAACAGGGTCCCTACCTTCATGCAGCTTATACTTGAGTACTGGGGAGGGAGGGGAGCACCTCAAGTGAGAAACACAGTGTTGCTTTTGGAAGTGTAGAGGGTTCAGCAGACACACAAACAAGGGATTCAGGATGGCAGGGAGGGGAATAGGACTTCAGATATGACAGCTGACTCCTCAAAGAGGATTAGATGTTCACCTGGCAGACCTTGGGGGAAGGGCTCCAAGCAGAGAGCAACTAGAGCAAAGGCGGGAACAGGTGTGAACAGCCTAGTGTATTTGGTAGGCCTGGAATACAGAATGTGAGAGATAAGTCATGGAGGCTTCTGTATGCCTTAATTAAGACTGTACTATACAAGGCCCCTTTAGGGTTTTATTCAGAAAATCAGTGTATGTGATCAGGTTTTTCTGGTATGATGAGACACTGGTTTACATAGGAATGAGAAAAGAAAACACTAGATAATGATGTCACCACATGAAACAACAAAGGAGAAAAGGAAACTCCTTTCAGGAAAAAATTAAGGACTACTATGGAAGCCCTTCTGGAAAAAAAGTTCTTCATTTCATATTTAAAATTGAAAAAGCAGAGAAAAGATGTTTACATATATATCATGCATTATAGTATCTGCATTTCTACTTTGAGTTTAAGTGGTCTTAATTCTAGTAATTCCATAACACATCTGGGACTGATTGTTGTCAAAAAGCACCGAAACCTACTTCATAGAGTCTCTGATACAAAGGGAAGAACCATGAGTAACAGAAGACATTTCCCAAGTCAGGTTTAAAGGTTTCCAAAGTTCAAGATAATCAAGTTTTATTAAGTCAGCACGTTCAAAAGGTGTGTCATAGGGGGTGGAGCAAAAGGAGGAGGGGTTAAAATATATACATATATAAACAAGTAACTCTTGATGTCGCTAGGACCACAATCACCACTTAGAGATCTGTCTCAAGTACAGGGAGAAATGAACACCCACCAGATACAATTAACTAAGGTGGGGTGGGGTGGGGAGGAAGTGGATGACCACACATGAAAATAAAAATGGGCCGGGGGTGGGGGGTGGGGGTGGACAATCACCTATCCAGAACCCATAATCCAGTTGGCGATGAGACGAGGAAATCTTATGATTCAGACATAAAGAAGGGAAAATAATGTCGCTCCCAAACTCCACACGTGAACCAGCAGATACTGGCTCAGGGGATATGGTCACATACTCTGATCCCAGAACTCAAGGACAGAAGAGTATCGTCCCCACACGGTGCCCGGGGGTGGGGGGGTGAAGAATCACCCCTATTCTGGGGCTGGGAAGCAAGCGCCTTAAGATGCACCCTAACGGGGTCAACGCCCCCCAGGCCAGGCCTTACCGAGGCCAGGAGCGGAGACGGCCCCAAGACCCCTCAATCTCTGCCAGAGCTGCCGCTACTCCTCGCACCCCAACACACACCCTCCCCTACCTGATATGGCGGCGGCGGCTCCTGATCCGGCTCCGTTCCCTCGCCAAAGCTAGCCCGGTCGGACTGAGACTCGTGAAGTAAGGAGATGTCATCCGAGGTGGGGGATTTGAGGCAGTTCCCCATCTTCTGGGGTTGGAGCGTATGATCTGGGGTAGGAAGCAAGCAGTGGTGGGGTCGTTCGCAGCTCAGCAGTCAGCCTCGGTAGGCGAGGTGGGGTCGACCGGCAGGCCCGGCTCAGGCGGCGGCGACTCCCCCGCCCCCCGGCGCCCCCGAGGGGCAGCTCATGCCAGCCCCCGGGGGAGGGGGCTCAAGGCTGGGCCGCGGACTTCGCTGGGGTCGCGGCGGTTGCCTCTGGAGACGAAACACTTCCCCACCCCGCCCCCCCGCGGGGCGGCGGCGGCCACGGAGCTGCTGGGCCTAATCCAGGTCAGGAGGGGGGGGCGCAGCCGTCGCGGCTGCCTCAGCTGCTGCCTCAGCTGCTGCTGCCCCCGCCGACGCCGGAGCCGCGGCCGCGGGCCTCATCCTACTCCGCCTCAGCGCGGCGGCGGCAGCCAGAACAAGGCCAGCTCGGGCCCTGCGTCATCCCGCCGTGCGTGCGCTGGTCCCGCCCCCGGCGCCAGGAGGCGAGGGCGGCTCCGGCGCCGAGGCGCGGCCCGTCCCTCCAGTCCTCCAGCTGTTCCCGGGGCTGCGTCAATTTCTGCTTCCCTCTCCGACAGTTTGGCTCAGCACCTGGTTCCGAAACCTCCCTCCTGCCTCCTGCGCCTCCCAACATCCACTGCTTCCACCCTGCTTAAGCCTCAGCTCTTACCTGTGCACTGCTGTGACAGTCTTCTCACCACCCTCTCCCAAGTGAGCTATTTATAAACCCATATCTGAATGGATTAGTTCCATGCTTAAAATGTTAAATGGCTTCCCCTTTATCCCTGAAGAGTAAAATCCAAGTTCATTAATGAACCCTCCCTATCTCTCCAATCCCTTCATTATCTCTTGCATCACACCCAGTGAGATTCTTCCTCCACTTGTATATCTCAGATTGTTCCATTTCTTTCCATTCCCCCCACCATAATCCAATTTACTGTCATCTCTCACCCAGACTTTTTTTTAAACATGTCTGACCCAGACTTCTGCAATAGACTCTCAGCTGTTTTCCCCAAATGCATCATTGCCGCCATCCAGTCCACTATTTGCACAGTCCACAGAGTTATCTTTTTAAAATGTAAATCTGATCATGCCCTTCTATTAAAAACCTTCAAGGGCTTCCCAATTGAAGAGAATTAAGACAATCTTTAAATAATTTACAAATCTTTTTCTCCAAAATCTCATTAGAAGATTGTCCCCTGCACAAATTCTAAACTCTAGGCTGTCTCAAGTACTTTTTGTTATCACAAAGAGTGTTCCCTCTGGCTAGGGCCTTTGCCACATTGTTTCTCTAACCAGAAACCCACTTCTCCCCCACTGGACCTTCTACCTCTGGTCAGGCTAATCATTATTCCCACGTTTTCTTCTGGGACTCAGCTTCATTTCCCCTGGAAAGCCTCTCTTGACCACCTTTCAATCTGGGTTAGTTTCCTCCTCAGAGCTCTCAGACCCTGAGCTTTTCTGTGTCACAGTCTGATCAAGCTGAATCATCTGTCCCTTCTCTGTACAAGGCCTGGCACATTGCCTAAGGTAGAGTATGCTCCCTCCTTGGTTGACTGAACAGCTAAAACAACATATACAAAGGAAGGAAACAAGAAAGATGAGTGGTTCTGATAGTCTTTCATTCAACAAGAAGAAAGAAGTGAATCTTGACTCCCTTTCTTTTTATTCACCATTTACTGATTGTGTGTGTGTATGTGCGCCTTAGGCACTTAGGAAACTGATTTATCACACCTGCCTTTTTCCTGATGTAGCCCAGAGTCCAATTGAGAAAACAAGTAAACAGGCAGGGCGTGGCGGCTCACGCCTATAATCCTAACACGCTGGGAGGCTGAGGCGGGCAAATCGTTTGAGCTCAGGAGTTCCAGACCAGCCTGAGCAATAGCAAGACCCCTGTCTCTACTAAAAATATATAAAGAAATTAGCTGGACAACTAAAAAAAAATATATATATATATATGTGTGTGTGTGTGTATATATAATTAGCCGGGCATGTTGGCACAGGCCTGTAGTTCCAGCTACTCGGGAGGATGAGGCAGGAGGATTGCTTGAGCCCAGGAGTTTGAGGTTGCTGTGAGCTAGGCTGACACCACTGCACTCTAGCCCGGGCAACAGAATGAGACTCTGTCTCAAAAAAAAAAACAAAACAAGTAAACAGATGAGTCCTTCTGAGCCCACCACCCCCAAGGATTTTGGAGGATCCAGAAGATAGTGATTAGTTCATTTGGGTGAGGAACAGAGATTCATAGAGGTAGGACGATATTAAACCAATATGGGTCTGAGCATTCTTACTTTGGAGTCCCTGTTTCACAAAATCGCTATCTTATTTAAATGTACTCAAATTCCATATTAGATATAACTTTTTTAAGAGAATTTTTGAACAAACTGGTTTTGAAATTTTCAATTTTCAAATCTTTAATTTTGGTTTTGAAATTGTTGGGCTTCTAGAAAATCATTTAATTTATGATTGGCTAAATTTACCAGAAAATTTCAGAAACTCCAGATAACTGGAATTTTTGCAGTGAGAAAATCTAGCCCACAAGTTATTTTCACAGCTAATGAAATTGTTATAAATAATAGATTTAATATACCATTTACACAGTGCTAGAATTTGTAGAGATAGTAGTTTCTTTAAGTTTTGTTTTTCATACTTTTTTCCCCCACAGGTGGGTAACACTATCATAAGCCCTTAAAAATTCTATAGTGCCTTAGGGAAAGAAATGGTGTTGCTGAGTTTAAAACTAGATTGATCATTTGCCAGAGAATGGAGGAATATTTGAAGCCCAGTGATTGGTTGGACATGGTCCTTGCCCTCAAACAGGTCAAAGTCTGGTGGTAGAGACAAAACAGGTGAATAAACAATAAGCAGGACTACAATTGAGAACTTTTTTTTTTTTTTTTTTTTTTTTGGCAAGTCATCATTCTCTTGCCTGGGCTAGAGTGCTGTGGTATAAGCCTAGCTCACAGCAACCTCAAACTCCTGGGCTCAAATGATCCTCCTGCCTCAGCCTCCCAAGTAGCTGGGACTACAGGCAAGCATCACCATGGCCAGCTAATTTTGTTTTCCTACTTTTAGTTGCCTAGCTAACCTTTTCTATTTTTAGTAGACATGGGGCCTCGCTCTTGCTTATTAGGCTGGTCTCGAACTCCTGAGCTCAAGCAATCCTCCCGCCTCAGCCTCCCAGAGGGCTAGGATTATAGGCATGAGCCACCACACCCAGCCTACAATTGAGACCTTTATCTTTGTTACATTTTTTTTCCACTTTGCTTCCACAAGCATCACCACCTCATAAAGGTATAGCTTTACACCTCCTGTGTCTGGTGAGAGAATGACTGTTGCATATTCCCCTGAGCTCAGTGCTACTGCCTAAGTTAGGGAACAATATTGAAATATCGGTTCCCCTCTCATTTGGTAGAAATTCAAATCAGTTATGAATCACTTTTTAAGTTACCACAGAGAGTATGATTCTGTAACAGGGACATAATAAGGAGTAGCAAATCAGTCACACACGTGAAGAATAGGTATAAAAATGATATTTTAGGAAAGGTAGATGTTTATTGATCATTATTTCCTTAGAGATAAATAATATACCAGCTACAATTTAAACATAGTTTTAAAAAATTATACAAATGGTCTTGATAACAATGAATAAGATTACTATAATAAAAATTGTATCTGTCATTCAACCCTGACAACTCTATGAGATGGACACTACTAATATCCCCATATTACAGATGATATAAGATATAAGGAGAGATGTAATAGAGTTCATTCATACTGGCTCATAAGAGCCAATTGTTGAAATTTCAGAATTGTGTGATCCAGTTGTTAAACACAGCCATTACTAAAAATTAAATTATGTAAACTTACAGCTAAATAAGTATATTAAAAATGAAGATAATAAATGCACAAAACTCACCACTTCTTAGTTATTTTACTACATTTTACTGTTATCTGTGTTATTGAGGTTATTTACCTCTGTCGTATCTCTGTGGTAGAAATACTTTATAATGATGGGGTGCTGGGCATCGCTTCCTAATTCTGCATTTAGTCATGCCAAATTGGTAGCTTGAAATTGGCCATGGTGGGAATATTTATACCTTTGAAATCAGCAAATGCTCCAAAGCAGGATTTGATTTTTTTGTTGTTTTTGCTTTAAGACTAGTCAAGTGCAATAGTGAGAAGAGGGGAAAGAGAACAAGGAGCAACCTCTGCAACTGACTGTGAACCACAATGGAGATAACTCACCACCTGCAGACCAGCTTGCCAATTTATTGTTTTGTTGATTGTCTATGCTTAAGAAGTGATAGGAAAAGTTATGCAGATTAAACTTAGAAGTATATCATAACTGTAGCTATTATATTGAGAATAACACAAAAAAATGAGAAAATATTCTCCCAGCATTTGAAAACTATTATCTGATTCAGTAGAAAAGTAGCTCATTTCATTGACAAATGAGTGAAGTTTTGACATAATTCTTCATTGTTTTAGTTTTGTCTTAACTGGTTGATATAAATAAAATATCAACTAACATTCATGTCATAATTACTCTTGTTCTTTAATTGCAACCTTAGGCTGGCTACAGTATAAGAGTCTGGCAAAAATCAATGAAAGCATTCTGTGAGAATCAATTGGTTATATGGAATTTATACCAAACAGTATGTATGTTTTGTAATTATTTATACATTGTATGCTATACATTCTTTATATCAGTAAAATTAATACTAAATTATGTACACATATATACATAATTTCCCCAGTTAAACATTACCAGCACACCAGTGGATATATGGGAATGGTAGATATGTTTTGGGGTGCCTGTTGCCTCATGCCCTCTTCCCCAGGACTTGTCTTACTTCCCACTAGTAAATGCCTACCTAAATAGTTTTATCTCTAATGCCATGCTGGTATCAGAATCTTTCACACATCCCCAGAAAGCATTGTTTGATTTTCTTGCCTGGAACAGCAACATTGCTGGATCCTTAGGGATGGAACTTTCTCCAGCCTCAGACAGACAGTGAAATTGGATCCTTTGGGAGGAAAGTTTCAGGTGTTTGCCTTTTTTGCTCTGTTGTCATTTTTCCTTGTCTCCTTTGCACTATTCCGACAGCTTCCTAATGAAGCCCTTGTCTCTGCACTATCAATCCATTCACCATACTATTGCCATGAAAAATGTGATCAGAGAGCATCTGTAGACTTGTGATTCAGAAATGTAGCATGGCCTTGAAGCTTTGCACCATTTGGGCCCATCCTTATTTCCTATGTGATTCCTTTGCCAACCAGGCATCTTATACTCCAGGCACATCACACTGTTTGGCGTAGCCTCAGTTTGCAGTATGCTTTTCCACCTCTGCTCTTTTGCCCATGCTGTTCCCTACCGTTGAAACCAAGCATCTTAAAACTCTCCTTAAATGCCATTTTCTTGGTGAAGCTATCCCTGATTTCATTCAGTTGGAATATATGTAATAACAAAAAATAAGTGGGATCTATTATTGTATTATATTGTGTATATCAACTACTAATCATATATGAATATTTTAACATAATTTTTAGTATCTGTAATCATAGCTGCCATTTATTAGACTGAGCTAGACACATAGATCCCTGAAAGGTATATATTGTCATTCCTGTTTTACGGGAATAGAAATGTGGCTTCAAGGAGATTACGTAACTAGCCTGATGTCACATGGCTATTCAGGGGTATAGGCAATGGAAGAAGGCTTATCTTGAATGCCTTTGGCATAAACATGTATCCACATGTGCACATGTAAGGAAGTAGCTATTCAGTGATCTTTGTCCTAACCTGGTTTTGGAGAGGAGCCCTCGGGGAATGCCCTGTAGACCAAATAGTGCCACCTAATCATAAAACACAGACTAAATTTGAAAATGATACCTAAGACTATTACAAGAGATTGAATGCAGAAGCAGATTATGAAAACCCAGAATCTTCTTTTTTTTTTCTTTTCTTTTTCTGAGACAGGATCTCACTGTGTTGCCTGGGTTGGAATGCAGTGGCATCATCGTAAATCACTGCAACCTCACACTCCTGTGCTCAAGCGATCCTCCTGCATCAGCCTCCTGAGTAGCTAGGATTATAGGTGCATGCTACCATGCCCTGCTAATTTAAAAAAAAATTTGTAGAGGCTGGGCGCAGTGGCTCACACCTGTAATCCTAGCACTCTGGGTAGGCCGAGGCAGGCAGATCAGTCAAGGTCAGGAGTTTGAAACCAGCCTGAGCAAGAGCGAGACCCCATCTCTACTATAAATAGAAATAAATTAATTGGCCAACTAATATATATGGAAAAAATGAGCCAGGCATGGTGGCGCATGCCTGTAGTTCCAGCTACTGGCTGAGACAGAAGGATTGCTTGAGCCCAGGAGTTTGAGGTTGCTGTGAGCTAGGCTGATGCCATGTCACTCTACCCCAGGCAAAGAGTGAGACTCTTGTCTCAAAAAAAAATTTTTTTTCTCTTGTAGAGATGAGAGTCTTGCAGTTGTTCAGGCTAGTCTCAAACTCTTGACCTTAGGCAATCCTCCCACCTCAACCTCCCACAGTGCTGGGATTACAGGTGTGAGCCACCACACCTGACCCTCAGTTTTGATTTCTATATGATAAATATTGACAGATAAAGTTTACATAAACAAAAGCTTGTTGGGGTCCTCAATAATGTTTAATCCTATGATTAAAAGGTTGAGAATTTCTAACTGAGGTCTTCTTACTCAAAGTGTGGTCCATTGATCAACACTATTTGAATCACCTGGGAGCTTGTTAGAACTGTATTAATAAAATAGCTGGGAGCTGTGGCTCATGCCTATAATCCTAACACTTCAGGAGGCCAAGGCGGGACAATTGCTTAAGGTGAAGAGTTGAAGACCAGCTTGAGCCAGAGTGAGATCCTATCTCTACAAAAAATAGAAAAATTAGCTGCGAGTGGTGGTATGCTCCTGTGGTCCTAGTTTCTCAGGAAGCTGAGGCACTAGGATCACTTGAGCCAGCAGTTTGAGGTTGCAGTGAACCACTACACTCTAGCCCAGGTGACAGAGTGAGACCCTATCTCAAAAAAAAAAAGCACAGGAGAGAAAAAAGAAAAGAAAGAAATGCAAAAGCTCAGGCCCCATCTGAGACTGACTAAATGAGAATATGAATTTTACCATGACCCTCAGATGTTTTATATGTACATTAAAGTTTGAGAAACATTGGTCTGGGTGCTTAAAATTTTTTCTTGGAAGAAATGACACTTGAGTTTTGTAGGATGACTAGGAACAGCTGGGGAAGACTGCAGACAGAGGACTTAGGAAGAAGAGAAAGCTTAGGTAAAGGCATAGTAGAGAGAAATGTCATCATACACTTCAAATAGAACTGTAAATAGAATATATCTGGATTCTTGGCAACATTGAGTCCTTTAAAAAATTAATTATGGTAATCAAAATAGCTCTACTTACAATGGAATACTACTCAATTAAAAAAAAAAAAAAAAAAAAAAATAGAGGCCGGGCGCTGTGGCTCACGCCTGTAATCCTAGCTCTTGGGAGGCCGAGGCGGGCGGATTGCTCAAGGTCAGGAGTTCAAAACCAGCCTGAGCAAGAGCGAGACCCCGTCTCTACTATAAATAGAAAGAAATTAATTGGCCAACTGATATATATATAAAAAATTAGCCGGGCATGGTGGCGCATGCCTGTAGTCCCAGCTACCCGGGAGGCTGAGGCAGAAGGATCACTGGAGCCCAGGAGTTTGAGGTTGCTGTGAGCTAGGCTGACGCCATGGCACTCACTCTAGCCTGGACAACAAAGCGAGACTCTGTCTCCAAAAAAAAAAAAAAAAAAAAATAGCTCTACAGTAAAAATCAGGAGCCAAAACTGCCTGTAGTACTCTTCTTGGGGGCTTTATTCAAAAGGAAAATTTTTAAATAAAAACAAAATAAGGAAAAATTATATATATGGAGAGGTTTGCAGTCTCAAAAACAGCAATTTGAATGTTCAATCATACAGAAATGATTTAGTGTAATAATCGTATATTCACTCCATGAGGTATTTTCTGAAATGGTCACTCTCCACAACATCATTCTTTATTCTCTTACTTGCTTTGTTTTTCTCTATAGCACCTGACATTTTTCTATATATGAATCATTGATTGTATGTCTCCTCAACTGAATTAAGGTCATAGGGCAAGGGCCTTTTCTTATTCACTACCAAATCCTCAGCATCTAAAATAGAGTCTAGCACATCGTAGGAACTGTATGAATATTTGTTGGCTATATGAATGAAATATGAAAATCTCTTGGCATATAATATTCATTAAAATATACAGAAAATGGAATGTATCCTCATTAAAACAATGAAAAAATGACATATACATGTTGATAGAAACTGGAATTTAAGAACTTGGAGACAATAGTCACCAGGGTAATGTAGAGAAATGAAAACAGTTTATTTGATAGGAGCTAGGATTGTTAACAATGTTCCCTCCACTTACCTAATATTATTGTTTCCAAATGGTTTGTGCAATTAAAAGAAAACCCTTTTTTTGTTTTTTGCAGACAGGATCTTGCTCTGTTGCCTAGGCTAGAGTGCCATGGTGTCATGATTGCACACTGTATCCTCAAACTCCTGGGCTCAAATGATCTTCTTGCCTCAGCCTGAGAGTAGCTGGGACTACAGGTGTGAGCCACTATGTCTGGCCAATTTTTCTATTTTTTTGTAGAGACAGAATCTTGCTATATTGCTCAGTCTGGTCTTGAACTCCTGGCCTCAAGTGACCCTCCTGTCTCAGCCTCCCAAAATGCTGGGATTACTGCCATGAGTCACCATGCTTGCCAAAAGCAAAAACTAGATAGTGAACATTTATTTCACAATATAATTTAATAGAACTATATAATAAATGTTGATTTCTAAAATAGGTTAAAAACTAACAATAAAAATAAAACTTGGCCGGGCGCGGTGGCTCACGCCTATAATCCTAGCACTCTGGGAGGCCAAGGCGGGAGTATCGCTCAAGGTCAGGAGTTTGAAACCAGCCTGAGTAAGAGCGAGACCCCATTTCTACTATAAATAGAAGAAATTAATTGGCCAACTAATATATATAGAAAAAAATTAGCCAGGCATGGTGGTGCATGCCTGTAGTCCCAGCTACTCGGGAGGCTGAGGCAGAAGGATTGCTTGAGCCCAGGAGTTTGAGGTTGCTGTGAGCTAGGCTGATGCCATGGCACTCACTCTAGCCTGTGCAACAAAGCGAGACTCTGTCTCAAAAAAGAAAATAAAAAAAATAAGACAATTCACTGTTTATTTAATAATTTGCTAGAATATCTCTTAATACAGTCTCAATAATCTGCTCAGTAAATAATATAA